TTTTGGTTTTGTTTGAGATGCAATTACTTCTTTAATTTTTATGTTTCAGGCTTAGATAAGTATATTTTTAATCGAAGATGTGAGGGAGTGGCAAATCCAACTATAATGATTATCATACTGAGGAGGAGGAGGAGGATTTATATCCAAAGAAGACAGAAGTCAAGAAGACTTTAGTTCTGAGCTCAGTTCTGGCACTTCCTCCCTATGTTCCTTGTAGTTTTCCTCATCTGTGAAATGAGGGAACCAGACTAGAAGATGACTGAGGTTCCTTCTAGTTCTAATATTCTATGGTTTTGTGATTCTAGGAAGTCGTTTTTTGACCAGATGGAATGAAAACTTTTATCTCCTTCAAATTTCCCTACACTACTAATTTTCTGCTCAGAGATTTATCTTGAAGGTACCATACTGTGTCCATTGAAACCGATATTCTTTTGCCAACAGGAACCCCAAGGTGACTGTCTTCAATGCTAACCTTTAAAATTACATATAACCCAGTTTCTCTTAGGAGTCATTTCTTACTTTGCTATTCATAAATCTGCCAAAACACTTTTGAAATTGATATTTTTATTTCAACCAGCATCCCCTCTTGATCAGGTTATTTAACTACTGTGTGAGTTAAAACTTATTTTTATTTATCCTAAATTTTCCCTACTCAAAGTTCAGAGGGCAGTATCTGGTACTAGTATCTTGTGATACAGGCAGTATGGCATAGCAAAATGAACTTGAAATAAGAAGACCTGGGTTTAAGTCCTGGGTCTACCACTTAGTAGACCTGTGACCCCTGAGATTCAGTGTCATCATCATCTGTAAAATAAGGAGGAAGATAATTACACTACTTCTCTCCTAGATTTTTGGGATCAAATTAGATAATGTATGAAAGTTTTTGTATGTATAAAATGTTAGGTCAACATAAATTTATTGTCATAAGAATTTTCTGGAAAAGACCATGTTTATTGTTTTTTTGATATCATTTCATATTTTGATGGTATTTCAATGGTACAAAAGCTTTTCAGCTTTCTATGCCAAGAAAAATCACAGAATTTGGAAGCAAAGGACATAAGTTCAGATCTCAGTTCTGGTACTCATCACTTGTATCATTTCCCACACCAAGAGGTCCCAATCATTTTAGGTTGGATTCATGTGGCAGCCCTACCTTCTCTGTCCTTCTATTCATTAAATGTTTCATCTACATTGTCTAGTTCAGAAAGATACAGTAAAGTTGTCTGAAGATGTGATAAACAGAACTGCATTCACTATGTAAAGATTTTATGTAAGGGCAAGGTTTTATTTCCAAGGCCCTACTTGATGATTTCTGGTTGTATTCT